GCCGACAACCCCCGACCGGTCGGCGGGTCGGCAGCCGACCAGTCAGGGGTTGCCGACGGTCGGCGCGTGCAACACTGTCGTATACTAAATTACTAGGGCCTCACTGCACTACTCTCGAAATGTGCAAAACGAGAGTGAATCTCAAGGTAGAACATGGAAAGATGCACCGCCATGATTTTTGTCTTTCGTGCATGTCGAGAGTAGTGGAGCGATGCCCCTAATGTGTTTCCATTCGGATTTGAGCTCCTGATGTGTGTGTTTTTAACTTTTTTACTGTATAGTAAGTTTTTACCTTTTGAAAAAAAGTTATGTGTGGGTAGCGTCATCCCAACCTCCCAAGCCACATGGGCTGGTGGTGGGTTACTGGTTTCTAAGTTTTTTCTAACTTTCTGTTATTTATAGCTCGTGCTGGAGGACGGATTGTTTGTCGTCTTTTATGACCTGATTTGGATTTTGTCGTTTTTGACTGCTGATTGTGTTTTTTTTTTGTCTTTTGGGGAAGTTTTGGGCCTCACATGCATGTTCCTTGTGTGACATGCGTCTGTTCTGTTTCATTTACTGAGTGCAGAATCTTACTAAATAATTGATCTTAAAAGTTCAAACTACGTTACCGGTTGTTCGATGGCAGGACGCGTCCTGGCCTGACAGTCCGGGGGGGGGCGGGGGGTTCCCGGACAACTTCTTTTTAGCAGTTAAAACTTAAAAGCACGAAAAAAATAAAAATAAAAAATTGGAGGTGTCTTTAATTTTATGTTGTATTTTAAATTTGAGAACGAGTTTCGATGCCATCCCAAGGCAAAAGTTGTTCAGTTTATATTTCTGCATAACATAGTTTTTTAAACTTTTTTAAAGTTTTTTCGGGTTTTTTTTTTTTTTTTTTTTTTTTTTTTTTCGGCGTTCGGGCTCGGACAGACTACCCGGGGAGGATGTCCGACGGGACAACCCCGGACGGTCAGGTGGGTCCCGGACGTCCGACTCAGATATGCACCTCATTATCATCTCACTGACTGGCAAGCTGTGTCGGAGGGGGCGGTGCTTGTATGTGGGACTTGTCATCTAGGATTTGTTTATGTTTGTTTGAATTTGTTCTGGTAACCTTTGTCTGCGTCCCGGTTGGTTTTGTCCCGTTGTTCGGTCTATTTTTTGGGAATGCGTAGCGGTGCTTTTATGTGGGACTAGTCATCCGTTTTTTTTTTTTTTTTTGGCATCCTGGTTGGTTGTTTCCCGTTGTTCGGGCTGTGCATTTGGGGGCGGTGCTTTTATGTGGGAATTGTCATCTGGGATTGTCTTTGATGTATTGTTGGACATTCTTCAGCACAGACGGCAGCAGTCGCAATAGATTGATTTCCTTTCTCTGCAGGCAAGGTGTTTTGATATCCTGGTTGGTCTTGTCCCGTCGTTTGGCCTGTGACGTGGGGGCGGTGCTTGCATGTGGGACTTGTCATCTAGGATTTGTTTCCCCCTGTTTTGTTGTGTTCAGCTGTTTCCTTCCTCTTTTCTTTGCCTCTTTGCCCTTTGGCTGTGTGCAAGTGGGTCAATATGACACACGGGGGTGGGGGCAGCCGCCGCTCAAGCTACATCCACGTGGGCGACCTTGTACGCAAGAGGTTCTGAACAGGGAGGAAGAAGATGAAAAATGAATTGATATTTTTCTTGTTTTTATTTATTTTTATTTGCTTTTGCGCCCTGACATCTTTGTGACAATATATATTGTGACGATATATATGATGAGTCGGTGAAACTCCGACGAAACAGTTTGTCACAGCCCCTCGTTTGTTGTCCTCTTCTCTCTCTCTGCCTACGGTTTACCGGGCAGTTCTATTTGTGACGATATATATATATATATATATATTTGA